ATCAAAAAAACGATGAAACCGTCCAAACCTTTATACAGGCTCCAGTCGGAAGAGGAGGAGGAGGAGGAGGAAGAAGGGGGAGGCCTGTGCAATCTGTGCATCAGTTCTCGACGGCGTGCGCAACATATCATGCCGAGGCAGACAGGCATCGGGCCGCCTGCGCTGCAGAGGCGGGCGGCCTCCGCGCACCTTCGCGCCTCGGACGGCGCGACAAAGCAACGCGCGCGACGCGACGCGACGCCATGCCTTCGTGCTTGCGACGCGGTTCCTTGAGGCTTCTGGGGAAAAACGCATCTAGATGCCAGAATGCGAACCACATGGCGCCATGATCTTCGAGCACCTGTAGGCCGGAGACGGAGCCTCAAGTCCGAGGGTGCTAGCGAAAGCCAGGGCGCAAATCTGATTGCGCAGCCTGGGGCTCTTCAGTGCCCGCAAGTTTGATTGCGCAGCCCGCGTGGTGCCCCGCAGCGTCTAGGACAAGAAATCCTGCCTCTCGCTAGCCGTCTCGCGCGGCGTCTGCCTGTTTCGCTTGCGCCACGTCCGCCATCAACCTGCTTGCCGACAGCTTCCAATCGACCGCCTTGAGTGCTCCGGTCAGAAGGTCGTGCGTGTTCATGCAGACTGGCACGCTCGCCTGAACCATGTTTATGTACAGTGCCACGGCGCACTTAGTGCTCAAATGTTGAATGCGCGAGCATTTTGCGTGGTGGTATGCGTAGCGACCGGGCGCCAAACGCTGCTCGCGCATCTTCTCAAGGAGGGCGACGGCTTCCTCGTGTAAGAAAGCGGACGTGCCGATTTTGATCATGATGCCGAAGGGCTTTGCGTTGGGCACCAACTCGCGGTCGGCCATGCGATTGAACCGCTTTCGGGCCTCGTTGCCCATGCTGAGCTGAGAACAAGCACCCAACGCTGCATTATACTGTCCGGTGAGGACTAAGTCCACGTCGTTCTATTTCTTTGAAAACTTCGAATGCGAATTCTGGTTCGGGTCGCTCGTTGACCAGAAAGATGACACCATGTGCCCATCTGCTGAGGATGATGCCTGCGCTCCTTATCTTCAGGAAATACTCAAAGACGCTCTGCAGAAAATCATTCTTCCACGCCAGAAACAAACAGTTCTGCATAGAAAGCGACGGTGTGTTCCCACGAGCTTTAACTAAGCCGAAAAGCCCAGTCTGCCTTTCCGCATGCGCTTGTTATTTTTACTTGTCAACGACAAACTTGGATACTTTCTGGGATACGGCCTTAGTAATGAGATGCGCCTTGGGCACAGCCCCTCTCTTCAACACCTGGTCGAACAATTTCAAAGCTGAATCGCCGTGTCCGAGTCTGATGCAGGCATGCAGCACCTGCAAAACAGGCGTGCGCCACCTCCTAAACTTTTGAACTTTCGTGGGTCACGCCCTTTGTCTGCGCGCAGTCGATGATATGCATGTCCGATTCCATTCGCCAATTTCGCTGCCGAACTGATTCCTTGAATCCTCGAAGTTGCCATGGCCATCACGCGGTTTCTTCGATGGCGCTCGAGCCTGGGAGGGCCTCAACTCAGACATGCTTTCGTCGGTCATCGGCGTCTTGTCAAACAAAAACCGTTCCACATTTATGATGCATTCAGTTCTTCTTTCGCTGCGCCACCGAACAAATATGCCAGACCTGCAACCCACAAACAACATATCGATCTTACACTTTATGCCTTCCTCGATGGCAAACGGAAGCGTGGGCGCCTGCCTTGGCGCTGAAAAAAAAAACAAATTGAAACGCCCCGATGCATGCGTCTGGTCGGCAGGCGGCAAATCCTCCCGGTTCCTTATGCAAGATTTGTTGCGCCCTCGTGGGCAGCATTGTTCTTTGACTTCCTCGACGCATGTTCGGTGCTGCAAGCGCGCTCGCGGCTCGCTGGCTCCGCGCGTAATAATTTAAGAGGGGGCCGGGCCCGACCGGCAGCTTCGCCCTGAGCGAAGCCCAACTCCAGCTCTGTTGTGCCGTAGTAGCGATAGTCCCAGTCGGAGGTCGTCGCGGGAACGACGGGACATCTCAAGCGAAGATGTTTTCTGTCTCGATGGCAAGTCGCGCGCCTTGCGATGAGGCACGGCCACGCGTTGCCGGCCGGCCGCGTGGGCCCCAGCGGCCAGGGGCAAACGCTCGCTATCTCTCGCCCTTGTTCCAGCTCGCTTTAGAGTCGTGTGTGTGTGTGTGTGTGTGTGTGTGTGTGTGTGTGTGTGTGTGTGTGTGTGTGTGTGTGTGTGTGTGTGTGTGTGTGTGTGTGTGGGGGGGCGTGGGGCGAAGCGTGAGGCCGCCACCGCTACGCAGTAAACTCTACATGTGCAAAGGGCAACAAAAGGCGGGATCGCGAGGGAGGTGAACCCGCGAGCAAGTGCCCTTGCGCGCAAATTGCCTTGCGAGCAAATTTAGGGGGCAAACAAACCTACCTCGCTTTTGACCACCCTTGCTTCCAAGAGGTGCCAAGCGATGCCAAACTACGGCCTGTACTGGCCAGGCCGCTTGACGAGGAGGGAGGCGCGTGGTATGACTTGGTTTTGCCTGGAAGCGAAAGCGGGGGGGGCAATTCACGCTCTGAAAATTGCTGTATAAACGACTGCCACTCAAGCGGCCTCAGACGATGTTGTCTGACCGGCCCGGCGCGGAGCATGGCGATTTTAATAATGCTTGAAAGATTGCGTTCCTCCCGTGACCTGTAGGGGCGTGTTTCTTTTAATGCTCCCGTTTGTGTGGCCGTCCGCAGTCGCGTCGCGAGTGTCACGCCGCTGAATGCTACGCGCGATATCTCGCTCCATCATCTGTCGTATCCAACTGATGTGTCCCACAAGTGCACACCTGGTCGGCTTATTTTTCCACTCTCTGCGTGACAGAGACATGCAGGCAGATCCGGCAAATGTCAAAGTGACCTTCATGCTTAGGCCACCCATCTCCAGTATGACTTTCAACTGAGTGGATGTCAGTGGTCCTGCGTGGAGTTTGCGCAGGGTAACGCTCGTGGGATAGCAGTCCTTCAAATTACGGGCTGCTGCTAGCGTTTCTGCTGAGTAGCTTGAGCGGACTTGCAAGCGGTAAAACTTGCAGTGCGCATCGATCAGATGGACGACAGGCGTCCCGCTTGGCGTGTTTCCACACCGTAGCAAGTTTGCCCGACGAATACCATAGCCTTTTACCTCGTCACCGGCATCTCCGCTAAGACGTCGATCGCCGGAGTCCCTGTGCAGGTCAACTTCGCCCGTTGGAACCATCGATCGATAGACGATCTTCTTAGGGCAGGCCTGCAGGTTTGGTCGGTTTTTGGACACGTTGCAGAGAGACCACATATACCATCGACCACACCTGTGTGATGAATGCGTAAGCCAATGCGCCTCTGAGGCAGACAAACATGTCAACAACCATCTTTGATGCTTTGGCGTCGGCGTCTGTGCCTGTGAGTTCAAGATGTTGTATAGGACAGAACTGTTTGATGTATTCATATTGATCCAGATTACCGTCCCCATCCTTGGTCTGTCTCACCACACAATTGGTATATGTGTGTTCGTTCAGTTTACACTTGCCAAACGTGTCCTCGACACACTTGACGCACTTGTCGATGGTGTCCCCAGTCCGGCCATATTAATATCATCAACATGTTTTGCTGTGAGAAGGTTACTGATTGCCTCAAGCTCATCGTCGTAGGACGTGGGTCTGGGATCAAAGCCTCTCGCAGTCTTTCTAAACTTCAGTGAGAAGGCTCTGGGCGCATCCTTGGTGCCTGTGCCTGGCTTGAGGCACTGTCAGCCGTGTTTCGACTCATCGTAGTGCTCGAATCCTGGGAAGGGTAGAGGCACCGATGCTGATCCAGCCGCCGATGTACAGCACACCGCACTTCCTGGTAGGGTAACCCTTTTCAGGAAAGCCATGTTGATGCCAACGGAAGCAATGACCCATTGCTTCTTGGACGCTGCTGTGTTTGCGAGTAACATATGACTTGACCGCCGCGCTGTTCCTGATAATGTCTCCACATCGAAAGCCTCGAAGTCCATGAAAACCCGAAGTACCAGACGTAATCTGATGGTGCGTTCCATCTCGGCCTTTTCGTTCTTGACGACCTTCCATTAACATGCGTACCTCGAAGTCATGATGTTTGACGCTTTGGATCTACATGGCATATTGCAACACTTGTGTTGCCAAGCCATGTATTGAGTTCAGTATTTTGGGCCTGTGATGCTTTAACTGGGTTCGCCTGCATGTCGGCGTTCGTGAGGAGGTCGTCCTCCTTGACGACCGCAGCTCGTGTTGCGGCGGCGGTTACGTATACTCGCATTGTGGTCACATTGTGCAGCGTCACGAAGCATGGAGAATTCGAACGCTACCCGCCCTTCATCCATGAATCTGGTGGACATCCTGAACTTTGCTGATGCAACAATCTGAAACAATCCCAGCCGTGCCTCCGTGCCAAGACTTCTTCTGGTACCGCGACGAAGGGATCTGATTCACACGCAAACTAGCAGTATGACAGACGAAGCCGAGGATCAACAATCATGATCTAGAGCATAGATCACTGAGGGGGGACATAACATTAGTATAAGCATGATGGGGAGGCCTTCCCGATGAGGATGAGGATGATCGAGATGAGGATCAAGGTCAAGATTAGTAGAAGGATGATGAGGAGATGCTGTAATAAGGACGGGCATTGGGGGGATGGGGCTCTTCGGAACGCCGCATGCTTCGAGCCAAGGGGATCCCTGCCAGAGAGAAGCGCCGTGGACCTTATGCTCAGACGATATGAGAAAAACGATTGCGCCGAGGTTGAATACATCAATTACCAAGCTGTGGTGTAACGGACGACGAATCAAACTTTCCCATCCCAAATGCAATTCGGCCTCGGGCCGCCAATCACATTTTGGCTCATCCCGCAATGAGTTCAAGCGACCTTGATTACAGCGAAACTTAGACGGCGTCCCTGTGCATGTCGTCGGCCCTCGCTCGCTATCCTGAAACGAAGGAGAGAGGCTAGCCTTGTACTCATCCTCTACCTCATTCTTGGGGTCGTCCTCCTCGAGCAGTCGGTCGAGGTAAGTGTCGCACCTGCTGATCTGCACGGTTAGAACGTGTTCTCCTCCTCTTCCCCATCCTCGTGCCCCTGCTCCAGCTGCTCCTCCTCGTAACTCCTCTCTCCCCACTCCTCCGAAACCTCCAGCTACCTGGAGGGGCCGCCGCGCCGTAGGCGGACTAGGGCATGGTAACCGCAAGGCAGGTGCTCACTCGGGCGCCCTGACCTGCCCCCTCCACTCTGCACATCGATATAATCTGCTCTCCTTGCAGAAAGCAGCGAGCTTCCGTCCAAGCGAAGCTGTAGATCTCGCTCTCTTAGATTCGGGGCGGACGAACGGGGGGGCAGGACAAGTGGGGCTGCGGAATCAACTCGCGTGACTGGTTTTTCGGGCGCTGGGAGGCGCCAGCGCATCGAGGAACGGCGCCCGGCGGCAGGGCCCGAAACCAGCTGCCTGGCCTGCAGAAGATTTCTTACCCGCCCCTTGTCAATCCACCCCTTTTGTTCGTCCGACCCACATGATCCTTGTCGTCTGGCCTCTGGCGGCCGTTCGGGACGATCCGATTCAAGCATCCCTTGAACGTTGACGGCGAGGCGCAGCTGCTGGAACATATCCCGAAGATGGAGACAACGCCGAGAGAGCCGCCGAGAGACAGCCGAAATTCGCCAGCCCAACGGGCCAGAGGCGTGCTAAGATCTCAGGTAACAGGTTAACAATATTTCCAGTTCGCGCGCGCGTGGCGGGCCCTGGAGACCCCTGGACGAAAAGTTCCCCTGGGCGATGCCTGGGCGATGCCCAGCTGACTCCCTCAGGGCGCTCCAGGAACGCGCCAAGAGGGCGCCAGGACGCCCCCTACACGGCCCAAGAGGCCCCGAGTCGCCGAGAAGGATCGTTCCAAGACGCTCAAGATGGTCTCCAGATGGCCCGAGACACCCACGATGGTTTCCATATGGCCCACGACGCGTACAAGACCTCAAAAGGCCACCAAGAGGCCTCCCAATAGAGCCCCAAGAGGGCCCCGAGAGTCTCAACTCGTCAATTATACGATGGTAATAGATCTTGACCTTCTCGCCTTTTCGGCTTTCCAGCGCTCCAAGACGGCCCAAGAGGCCCCCCAGACCACTCCAAGACGGCCCATGAAGCCTCCAAGATGGCCCCAAGACTGCCCGATATGGCCCCAAGACAGCCGAAGAGGCGCCCAAGATGGCCCAAGAGGGCCTCAAAACGGCCCCACGAGGGGCCCAAGACGGGAACCAGGAACCGAAAAGTCCAGCCCTCAGCCCCAAGAGGCCCCCAAGAGGCTCCCCAAGAAGCCCCTAGAGGCCCCCAAGAGGCCCGAACACGGCCCCCAAGAGGCCTCAAGACTGCCTCCCAGAGCCCACCAAGAGGCCCCAACACGGCCCCCAAGCGGCGAGGCAATGTGGGCCGGCGGAATGAGCGAAGCGATCCGCCGCCCCACCAGGCACGGCGTGTGAGATCCCCGCCGCATGGTCTGCAAGAATGTCCCTTTGCCCGCGCAGTCCTCGGATCAAGTCCCTTCCTCAGAGCCCTGGCAACCCCTCCTGGGGTCCTCCCCGGGCCTGCTCATTCTGCCGGCCCAGGGGGCTCCAAGCTGCGGACTGGGCGTCCGCTGGTGGTCACTTTGCCCTCAACTCAAGCAGGCCTTCGCACCGGAGATTTCCGGACGCCTCCAGGCGCCGTTCGGGACCTCTCCGGAAACCCTCATGCGCAGTCTTCGGAGCCTCTTGGAGCCCTCTTGGGTTTCTTTAGCTCCGTCTCGGTGCCTTCCGGGGCCGTCTCGGACCCCTTCGAGGCCTTCTTCGGGGCATGCTCCGCCGAAGAACTGATGAAGCCAAAAACCTTCAAAACCAAAGGGAGTTTTATGAGTTTCGTTGTTTTGGCCTCCTCTTTGCGCCTCCTGGAACTCTCTTGCAGCATCTTGCGCCGCTCCTGGGGCCTCTCTGGCCACGTTGGAATCTCTACAAAGCCTCCCGGGCCGTCCTGAAGGTCTCCCGGACCCATCTTCGGCCGTCTGGCCGCCCTTTTGGAGCCTTGTTGGGCCGTCTTCGCCGCGCCCGGGGGGCCCCTCTTCTGAGGCCCCAAAAACTCGTCGGAGTGTTCCTTTCTGCATTTCCGTATCCCTCTTCGGTTCGCTCCGCTGTTTTCGACACCTTCGGGTGCCCTTTTGGGTCGTCTTCCGAGCCTGTTCGGGCCCTTTATTGGCCTTCTTGGACCCTCCTCGGCGTCTTTGTCGACCCTCCGGGGCCGTCTTCGCCTCCTCGCCCAAACTCCGCGCCAAGGTGGAACAGGGACCGTCTCAGATGCCGTCTCGCCCTCTGGTGCGCAATTTCAGTGGGGTCTCCGGAGACCCTCTGGGGCCGTCTTCGATCCCCGCCCCTCCGCACTCGAGATCTGGTATCTTTTCAACTCCCTTCCTTCTCCTCCACCACGCCTCCCAAACTCCCCACGTTCCCCAAAAGCGCCGGCCGCCGGCCTGTGGCAGCAGCACCACTACCACCACCACCGCCCGCGCCCCTCGCGGCACAAATAGCTCTCCAAACAGCTGTCCAGCCCAGAGTTTCTAGCTCCCCGCCCCTTCCTGCGATCCTCCCTTCGCCCTGTGCGCCTCCACGGATTCGGCGTCAACATCACAGTTCTTAGTTCCATCTCTTGTCTGGCCGTACCGAAGACTCCTACAAACACGCACACGCGCATTCGATACCCCGCGCGAGGCGCAAGCACTCTCCATGCGCATCCTCAGCGGGTGCGTGCCGCCAGCGCAACCACTGCCTCCGACAAGTAAGCCATGTCGCCAGAAGCCACACTGGCTACACATCCATGACTAAGACCCGCCTTCAACCACTGCACTGAGACATGCAATTTCATGGTGTCCAAGCCCTGCGAGACTCCTGAGCCCTCCAGGGGGAATTCTACCAAAACCGATCCGCCTCAAACGTCACAGACAAGCGAGCCCAATGAGGCCTGCAAAGGCTATGGGGCCTACTCCGACGAGAGCCGTACGCTTCATGAGGCCCACAAGCCCCATGACCCAACGATACCTGCAAAGGCTACTGGGCCTTCCTTGAAGAGAACAGTACGCTTCAGAAGGCCTCACAACCGCACGGAGCCCTGTGGTACGTGTAATGGATATATGCCCAAACATGCCAGTCAGTGTACAACGACTACCTGGCCTGCGGAGCCTGGGAGCCCCCCGAGCCCCCCAAAGGGAATTAAAAGAAGAACAACCCATTGAAGCCTGCCGGGTCTACGAGGCCTCAGGATTCCAGAAAGTGGGGCGGCGGTGTCTGCCCCCACAGGGGCGTTCAATTGAATAATCACGAGATGACCCCCCTTCGTTCGACCTCCTACTCTTCCTACTTTTCCTACTTCTCCATTCTCCTCGTTTTCTTCATGACATAATCATCCGTCTCCTCCTATGTGTCCTACCTCCTTATTTCCCAACCATCCTGTGGTGTTGGGTCCTCGTTTTGAAGAGACGTCGCCCCGCGTTCCTCCTCCTCCTTCCTCCTCCTCCCCTTCCTCCCCCCTCCTCCCCCTCCCACACCCATTCTGGCACACCCCTCACACGTTTCGTGGCCCCATAGGGAGCTCCACCGAAGGCCCCAGTGGCTGCGCCCGCATGCGGTTCCACCCCCCATTCTGGCACACCCCTCACACGTTTCGTGGCCCCATAGGGAGCTCCACCGAAGGCCCCAGTGGCTGCGCCCGCATGCGGTTCCACCCCCCATTCTGGCACACCCCTCACACGTTTCGTGGCCCCATAGGGAGCTCCACCGAAGGCCCCAGTGGCTGCGCCCGCATGCGGTTCCACCCCCCATTCTGGCACACCCCTCACACGTTTCGTGGCCCCATAGGGAGCTCCACCGAAGGCCCCAGTGGCTGCGCCCGCATGCGGTTCCACCCCCCATTCTGGCACACCCCTCACACGTTTCGTGGCCCCATAGGGAGCTCCACCGAAGGCCCCAGTGGCTGCGCCCGCATGCGGTTCCACCCCCCATTCTGGCACACCCCTCACACGTTTCGTGGCCCCATAGGGAGCTCCACCGAAGGCCCCAGTGGCTGCGCCCGCATGCGGTTCCACCCCCCATTCTGGCACACCCCTCACACGTTTCGTGGCCCCATAGGGAGCTCCACCGAAGGCCCCAGTGGCTGCGCCCGCATGCGGTTCCACCCCCCATTCTGGCACACCCCTCACACGTTTCGTGGCCCCATAGGGAGCTCCACCGAAGGCCCCAGTGGCTGCGCCCGCATGCGGTTCCACCCCCCATTCTGGCACACCCCTCACACGTTTCGTGGCCCCATAGGGAGCTCCACCGAAGGCCCCAGTGGCTGCGCCCGCATGCGGTTCCACCCCCATTCTGGCACACCCCTCACACGTTTCGTGGCCCCATAGGGAGCTCCACCGAAGGCCCCAGTGGCTGCGCCCGCATGCGGTTCCACCCCCCGTTCTGGCACACCCCTCACACGTTTCGTGGCCCCATAGGGAGCTCCACCGAAGGCCCCAGTGGCTGCGCCCGCATGCGGTTCCACCCCCCATTCTGGCACACCCCTCACACGTTTCGTGGCCCCATAGGGAGCTCCACCGAAGGCCCCAGTGGCTGCGCCCGCATGCGGTTCCACCCCCCATTCTGGCACACCCCTCACACGTTTCGTGGCCCCATAGGGAGCTCCACCGAAGGCCCCAGTGGCTGCGCCCGCATGCGGTTCCACCCCCCATTCTGGCACACCCCTCACACGTTTCGTGGGTGGCTCTATGGAGAGCTCCGCCGAACGCCACAGTGGCTGCGCCCGCATGCGGTCCCCCCCCTTCCATTTCGGCACACCCCTCACACGTTTCGTGGCCCCATAGGGAGCTCCACCGAAGGCCCCAGTGGCTGCGCTCGCATGCGGTTCCACCGCCTTTTTCGGCACGCCCTTCACACGTCTCGTGGCCCCATAGGGAGCTCCACCGAACGCCGCAGTGGCTGCGCTCGCATGCGGTCGGGCGTGGCTCCATAGGGAGCTCCACCGAAGGCCCCAGTGGCTGCGCTGGCATGCGGTTCCACACCCCATTCTGGCACACCCCTCGCACGTTTCGTGGCCCCATAGGGGGCTCCACCAAAGGTCCCAGTGGCACTGCCCGCTTGCGTCCGCCACCACCCAGCACAGCCCTTGTTCCCTGCGCTTCACCCACCCAGAATAGCGCTTCGTAGCCCTATAGGGAGCTCCACCAAAGGTCCCAGCGGCACCGCCCGCATGCGTCCGCCACCACCCTGCGCAGCCCTTGCTCCCTGCCTGCGTTTCACCCGCTCAGTACAGCGTTTCGTGGCCCCATAGGGAGCTCCACCGAAGGTCCCAGTGACACCGCTCGCATGCGTCCACCACCACGCAGCACAGCCCTTGCTGACCGCGTCTCACCCACCCAGTACAGCGTTTCGTGGCCCCATAGGGAGCTCCACCGAAGGTCCCAGTGGCACCGCCCGCATGCGTCCGCCACCACCCAGGACACTTGCGGCATTCACAACTGCATATGGTTGGGTCCTTCGCCAGGCTAATTTCCTCATACCTCCTCCTGCCTCCTAGTCCTACCTCCCACCTCACACCTAACACGTCCCACGTCCCATATCCCACCTTCTACCTCTTACCTCCTGCCTCCTCCTGCCTCCTCCTGCCTCCTCCTCATCTTGTTCTTCTTATGATCATTCTTCTTATCATTCGTCTTATTCTTCTCCTTCATACTATTTCTCTTCCTCCTCCTCCTCCTCCTCCTCCTCCTCCTCCTCCTCCTCCTCCCCCTCTTCCCCCCTCCTCCCCTCCTTCAATCTCCTCGGTTTCCCCCTTCCCTTCTTTTGGGGGACGGGGAGGGGCGAAGAAAGTCGCTTCCAACTCCGGCGGAAAGGTTGACGCCGTCGCCCCGACCTTGCGGCCGAGTCCGAGCGGAGTGTGAACGCAGCGGCGGGCAAGGCGCGGGCCGAGGGCCGCGCAACTTCCGCAGCATGTTCTGGCGGATGTCGTCGGCCGTGTCCTGTTGGAAGGAGCCAGGATGATGAGGATGAGGTGTGAGGGGAAGAGGCGGGAGGGATGGGGAGGGTGAGGAGGAGGGAGGGGGAGCAAAGGAAGAGGAACAACGACGAGGAGGAGGAAGAGGAAGAGGACATATTGTTGTATTATCCGCGACACGTGAAACACTTCTGGTCGGTCTTGGCGAACATCACCTTCACGATAACCGTCATGCCGAACGCGAGGACCGCTTGGAAAACATCGCAGGACGCGCCTTCGTCAACGTCGAATACGAGTGAATACGGGACGAGGCCCGTCTCGAGAACCACGTCAAGACATAAACAAAGAGCCACGGCGCAACTGATGTAGTGGCGCCACGTACCCGAAACAACAATAAAGTAGTACAGTGGGGCAAACGGCCAACATACACGAGTACCCAAGCCGATCCCAGTGCAACCATAATCTCATACATGGCGACGGCATAGGTTGGGCAAGTCCGAACGCGCCAGGCCCTTGGAGAAGACGACCCCACCCCAATGTGTGTGTGTGTGTGCGCGTGGGCTCCCCATGTCTTTCTCGCCCGCCTTGCAATTATCCGCGTAGTTTGCGCCCATGTCCTGAGCGTCCCTGATCGCTTCCATCTCTGGTGCCAAGTGGAAATCCCATCTGGATCCCACCAAATGCCTCTTCATCTGCGGGCTGTTCAGTGCGGCCCTCCATAGTCTGTATGCGTTCTCTCTCGATCCAACCTACGCCCAACATGTTCGCGGCTTGCTTAGGGTCCAGCTCATCATTGCCGTGTTCGTCGTTGCTGTGGTTGGTATGCTGCGCCGACTGTGTCGAGCGATCCTGACCGCGGTCGCGCGCTCTGCGACGTCAATATTCACACCGCTGGATGTATCGCTGTGAAGCGCTGGTCCAAACACGTGCTCTTGCATGTGAATAATACGAGCGTCCGAATATTGATGCACGAAACTGCAATGTCCGCAAACATAGACGGGGACCAGACTCGGGCCTGAAGTCGTGCAGCGCGGAACGTGCTGGGCAGCGCCCGGGACCCTTTCCTGCTATTGCCCACGCGCCGCATGCATGAGGCCCTACTGCCACATGGCACGAGCTTGCTCGCATTGCCAGCAGACGCAAACTGCGAAACTGATGTGCGAACGCCGTGTGCGAATGTATGGCCTTCGTGAGGGTCGGTAGCACTACAAGCTGTGCCATCGCGTACTTTGCGCATGCATCCGTCGTGAGTCTGTGTTCCGTTCGGTCCTTTCAAGCGTTGCTGCGCGCGTCCTAACAATGGCCATAGTGTGGGCCCATCTACTTTGAATTGCTTAAGCGCTGCTGCTGCTGCTGCTGCTGCTGCTGCTTCCGTGTCTCTGAACATTTCCGCGGCGTTATGTGTGTCGTACCAGCCCGTCGTGCTGTCTATGTGCGGTTCTGCGCCTTCCAATCAATATAATGTGTCTCCCTTTTGTTGTACTGCTTGGGCTATCGCGTTCAACCCCTTCTGCCGTCTTGCCCGAAGTGCGCCGTGCCCGTGAACTCCCCCGCGCGTTTCGAAACGGCGGCGGCCGCGGCGGGCGCGCTCGCCCAGCTCAATCGCGCCGGATGCGCCCATGAGGTCTTGCTCGTGGTTCGAGGGGCCCTTGGAAATCCGCCGATCCGGCGTGTGAGTTTAAGAAGTCTAAGCTGAAATTCTGCTTCAGCATGAGCTTTAGCTGTAGCTCTGCTTGGGAGGGGGGAAGGGGGGGGGGACGCAATTGACTGACGAATTGAATTCTCGGCACCTCCCCCCCCTGCCAGCCTCCAGGAAAGAGGGGGAGGAGGAGAGAGGGGGGGGGGGACAGGACAGAGGGGAGAGGGGGGGACAGGAGAAAGGGGGGGGGGAGGAGAAATGGGGGGGGGAGACATGAGAAAGTGGGGGGGACAGGAGAGAGGAGGGACAGGAGAGAGGGGGGGGGAGAGGTAGGGGGTGGACAGGAGAGGAGGGGGGGGGGGGAGAGAGGGAGAGGGGAGGGGGAGGCGAGAGGGGGGGGACAGGAGAGAGGGTGGGGGGGAGCAGGAGAAAGGGAGGGGGGGACAGGAGAGAGGGGCGGGGGGAGAGGGTGGGGGTGGACAGGAGAGTGGGGGGGCAGGAAAGAGGGGCGAGGGACAGGAGAGAGGGGGGGGGGGACAAGAGAGAGGACGGGGGGTGGGGTGGGGGCACGGGTCACCACCATCTCCATCACCATCACCATCACCATCGCCGCATCATCACCATCATCATCATCATCATCATCATCATCATCATCATCATTCTCATTCTCATCATCATCATTATCATTATCATCATCATCCGGAGCGACCCGGATCGGCGGCACTGGCCAGAGGCCACTGCAATAACTCTGGCCCGTCTGGAATCGCCCCGTCTGGAGCTTGACATTTGTGGACGAGATGTCCCAGAACGGTAGAGTATCTCGCGTGCTCGTGGCACGCGCGCAGCCATCATTCGTCTGCGCCGCCGCCTTCCCCAGCATCGCTCTTTTATCAAGTGTGCGACCGCGCTGTCCAACCGATCAGTGGCATCTTCTGCAAATCGCACCTCGTCGAGCGCGCGTGGGTGGCGGAGCTGCCGGCGCGAAGGCGCGAGAGCGAAAACTCCGCAAATGCGTAAAACTCGAACAGAGAACGCCCGTCGGAAGTCGCGGGCGCGACGCGAGGGCCAAGAAAGGCTCGGCGGGCCATGGCGGGTCAGAACGCTGGGCCCTGGGGGCGCGCGCGCCGACGGGCGGGGCGCGAGTGAGACCCGCGCGTGAGGGTGGTGAGCGAGGCCACGGGGCGAGGAACCCGCTGAAAAAGCCGAAGCAGCGCTGCGCCCCCTGCGGCCATTGGCGGGCCGACGCGGAGGCGGTGACGTGACCGAGTAGCATTGGAATTTTGACATGCTGCCGCCAACTGTCTGTGTAAGCTGCAGTGTGCAATTTCCTGCTGCGCTCCTGAATTACATGGTGTTCTGCCGAATCTCTTCCATGGCCCCTGGGGGCGACGCGCCCAGCGCCCTTCGAGCGCCGATTTTGCTCGTCGCCTTGTAGGGCGTGCTGCGGGCGAATGCGGGCGAAGGCAGCGGCTGCTCTCCTGGCTCGGGCTAATCGGTCGGCATCGGACCCCCCCGCGCCGCGAAGCGAACCGCGCGCTTTCGCTGATCGGAGCACTTCGTCGTCTGAAACAGCCGGGGCCTGTCGCGGGGACCCCCTGTGGCTGCTGTGCTAATATTTCGGTGCGCCACTCAATGGGCAAGGCGCGCGTCGTCGGTCCTCGGGCCTGGCGCTCGTCCGCGAACTTGCAACTTGCGCCCGAAACTGCTGTGAATATGTGTGTGGGGGCGACTGGGCTGATGGCCTTTCGCGCGGGCCTCTTCCACGCGTGAGCGCCTGGCCCCCTGGCCCCTGGGCTGCGGCGATCTCCGGGGCGTCGGCGTCGGATGCGCGGTTCTTCGCAGTGGCGCCCTCGCAAAATCGAATACTCTCAGGTGGGCGCGCCGCAACCGTGCGGGGCGCGATCGACAAGGCATCGCAGTGCGTGGCGGCCGCGGCGCCGGCCTCAAACAACAGCGTTCAAGTGGCGCTGCGGGCGGGCGCTGCGGGCGTGGGAGATGCCGGCGGTCTTCGGGCTCTGGGGCATCTGCGCTTCAGCGTCTCGCGCTGCTTTATCTGGGTGGCGCGCAGCCGGCGCGCGCAGGACATCGCGCTGCAGTCTGTCGCGGAGGGCCGCGCTGGCGCCCCAATGTTAGCGCAAACCGATACGCGAATCGCATTCAACGCGCGGCGCTTGGCGCCCCTGGGCCCCGCGCCGCTGGGTAGGCAGCCGCGTTCGTCCTCGCCGAGGCAGTATTGCACGATGGAGGTCTCCTGCCAGTCACCCTTGCCGGCGCCCAGGACGCACTGCTCGTCGCGGGTCCCGAGGTCGCCAGCTGGCCCCGATGCGACGAGGGCGCGGCGCGCCCTCTCTCTCCGCGCGTCCGCCACGGGCGGCGCGGCATGATCTCGAAATTGCTCGAAACCCCCATCGGGGTTGAAAGCCTGCCCTGCGTCTGCGTCGAAGTCGCCAGCAACCCGCCCAGACTGCTGCGCGCCTGGTGGTCGCGCCGACATCGAAGGTCAGCCGCCATGCGCGCGCGTGGTTTTTATTGCCGTTGCCTCTGGGTGACCTCTCAATTCGTCGCGAGCAGCGTCGGCTCGATGGCGCCTGGGGCAGCTGGCTCCAAAGGTCGCGCTTCGAGGCTGACAGTGCAATCGTCGACGCCCGCGTTGTCTCTGACCGATATCACGCCGCGCCGACCGACGCCGTGCACAACGGCCTGCACTACGTGATCAAGGTCAACCTACGGCCATGGCCAGGTCCATCGCGTGAGGGCGCTGACCAGGCCTGCCGCAGATCTCGAGGATAAGAACGCGCGCAAGCTTTCCGCGCTGACGCAACATTTTCTGGGTGAGCTTCCTCCAAGGGCCACGCAACGTACACGAAGCAGCAACGGGATCGCAGTCCTCGCGATCAATCCGCATGTCACTGCCATCATATATGTTCACTACGAACATTGCGTCGACGGTCTCTCGAGGGCCTGATATCGTAGCCCGGCTGCCTGTGCCGGCGCGGGGGGGGGGGGGGCGGGCGAGGGAGCTCTCTCGCGCCGAAGAAAGAAACTCGAATTGTGCCTCCTGGCGTTCCGAGTCGATGCTGCCGCGCCGTCCGCCAACAACGTCGAACTGCGCATGCGAGCGTGCTAGAAATCGATATCTGTGGAAACCAGCGTCGCCGCCACGAACGCCGAATGGTCGGGGGGGGGGACCTGCGCCAACGCGTGGGCGCCTTCCTGCTCTCGCCGAACAGCGCGCGTGGCCCTCCCCTCCTCGCTCCGAACCCAACTGCGGCCGCGGCCGCCGCCTCGACCTTGCCGCCCGCGCCCGAAGCCTCGGTCGCCAGGGGCGCCGCCCGCGCGCGGCGGAGGGGGGGGGGGGCGGGGGGGGCGCAGGGGCGCCGGAGGCAGGGGCAAAGGAAAACGACAGAGGAGAAGCAGGACAAGGTGCGCGAGGAGGACTACGAATACGATGAAACAAAAACGCGGGTGAAGAGAGGAGGACATAGAGGAACGGCGTCTGCAACGACAGGATCTGCGGCAACAAACAGCACGGCATCGGCGGCGTCGGCCGCGCCGCGCCGTACATGCATGCAAACATTAAATACTGTGGGCCAAAGGCGTTGGACGGATGGGGAGGTGCTGGAAAGACAAGAGAAGAGGGAGGTGCCGCGCACCAGCGCAAATCGAAAAACGCAAGTTCCTAAATACCTCTCGTGCCCCCTTTTCGACCCTCCTTCTCATTGTCTCATCCTCCCCCTCCTCCCTCGCACCGTCCTCTCTTCCTTTGTCATCATTCCCCTTGTGTGTGTTGGCCTCATCCGTTGTCCTCCTCCCCCCCCCACCTTTCCGTGTATCCCTCCACTGCGCTTTTCGTTTACCACGCGTTGTATGTCCCATGCGATGTCCCTGCGCCCCGCGCAGGCCCGCTTTCGTTTCAATGCGCCTCTCCCCCGTCCCGTTCGCCCGCCAACCCCCTTCGCCTCGACCCGCGCATTTTCCATCAGGAGCGACGCAATGTCTTGTCGATCTGGTCAGATTCAATCTTTGCTTTTGTCATGAGCGTATTTGTATAATGTCTACATAGCGTGGTCCACATGTTATCACATGGGTTCCCCGACGGTAAACAGCTATTCCAAGGTATCAGACAAGCTGATCGTACAAATGAAACCCCCTCGCGTCTGACCGGGCGGGAGGGAGAGAACGAAGGGGAAGGAGGGGGAATGATGGGGGAGCCAGAGAGAGGGAGGTTTGGGAATGAGGGGTGGGGTGGGGGGGAAGGCCGTGAAGAGAGGAAGCGCAAGCAGATCAGGACAAGGTCCAGGAAAGAAAAACAACGAGACATATACCGAACCAACATCGACGACGTGGATGGCCGCATGGCAAGCTCCAAGTGGACTGGCTTCTTGTGGGGTGGAATCAGTCTTGGGAGCCTTGGCGTGAAAACTGGACGAACACTGACACTCGCCATCTCTGACGATATGCTCTCTTGCGTCCAGTAGCTGCGCCTCTCTCGAGCGTGAAACGGTCACGCACAAGAGGCTGGATAGGAATCGCATCTGCAGACAGTGCGCAGGCTTGCATCATGTCCTCCTTGCCCTCCTCGACGGGCTGGTGCTCCTTGGGGAGGTTCCACTTCGGGTCCTGCGCAGGTGGCAAGGGGAAGCGGCGTATAGCTGACGCTGATGAAGCACACTTCGCATTTTAATGCAAACTTAGTGCGCTTGTTTCAACCTAACACACCGACTCACCATCGCATCAATTTCAACTGTGCATTCTACCTCAAATGCATGTTATTTCCACCTTGACATGTTTCGCCTTTGACATTCGTACTCACCTCTTGTCGCCT